TCATACATAGTTCATGAGCTCCAGCCTCAGGCTCTAGGCTGACAGTTCAGAGCCTGGAGCCTGCTTCACATTCTGTGTCTCCCTCTCTCTCTGCCCCTTCCCTGCTCATGCTGTGTCTCTCTCTGTCTCAAAAATAAATAAACATTAAAAAAAAATCTTTAAAAATGGTCAAGGGAGCAAATTTTACTCAGTTAAAAACGAAAGAGGTAGACAGGGCCCGTGCTGGGAACATAGAAGGTAAACGAGGTTCCAGTAGGAGGAGGGGAGAGGGCACCCCGGACAACACCACAGCTGCTGCGGTCCAGGCGCCCGCGGCCACCTCCCACCTTCTGACCAGTCTCTAGGGCCCGTGTCCAGCCGCGGTGTCTGAGGCACGTAGTGGGCTCCGGGCGCCCTCTGGTGGCAGCGTGAGGAGTCAGCTGCAGACTCACCCCTGCCAGCCTAGAGCCCCTGTCTCTGACTCCCCACACCAGCTCTCCCCCAGAGAATGAGTCAATGTCCTGTGGGTGTCCCTGGCCAGCGGCCTGGCCCTGAGCCGTCTCCTCATCACCAGGATTCCCCCGTGCAGACCTCTTACCGTCGCCCAGTGGGTAATGCTGACTCTCTCCCTCAGAAAACCTGCACAGGGGCAACCTGTCTTCACAGCTGCTGCCCTCCCACCAGCAAAGTACCTTGCTGTCGTTAGCCATCAAAGATCTGCTTCCCGTAGGATAAGGAATCCATCAGGCCATGCCTGCCCTCGATCACGGAGTGCAGTGACCAGAAACACTGCAGGTGTTCAGTAAATACATGAGCAGTGAGCGGCTGCACCAATGAGCGAACAGAGGGCTGAATGAGTGAATGAAAGACATCTCAGACTCCAGTGTCTGTGCTCACATGCCCCCAGCTCCAGGACCTTCAGGGCCCTGCCCCTCCAAAGGGGCCTCTCTCCATCCCCACCCATACCCTAGTTCTTCGCAGGGGGTGCAGCCGATGCTGGACAAGGAGGGGCATCCACGCGGAGCCCTGTACTCAAGCAGGGGGTCAGCCCCACAGGACAACGGGCGCCTGACAGGAAGCCCCAGCCCTGGGGGCACAGGCAAGGAACCCTCATGACCAAGGCAGGGGCTGAGCTGGTCGAAGACCTGGGGGAGCGGCAGGTCCGAGAAACAGGGGGGATGCCTCAAGGACAGTGTGGAGCCCAGGACAGACCGGGAACCAGGAAGGTGGCGAGTTGGAGGAGTGCAGGGCCAGTCCCAGGCCCATCAGGTACAGAAGGGCCTGCACTTGGCCTGGAGGGGACAGTGAACAGGTCCCCAGAGTAAGAAAGCCCAGACAGAGAGGTCAAGTTCTTTCACTCGCACAAGACTCGCCTGGGCTCTCACTTCAGCAAAAGTGGGGGAGAAGGAGAGGTGTGGCCCAAGCAGAGGCCAGCCCTGCCTGAGTCCCCAGCTGGACCTGCGGTCATCCAGACCCTTGCAGCTAGGCCCACCTGGATGTGCTGCCCCTCTGGGGTGGGGCTAGGGGCTGGGGACAGCAGAGACAGTTCCCAAACTGAATGCCAGAGGGTGCCAGGAGCCTACCAGAACCCGGACCCCCCGGTGACGTGCTCTGATGGTATCCACCATGAGCACTGGCCTGGATTGCCCCTACCCAGCTTGACCCAGGGTCTCCCAAGGTGCTGGAGTGACCAGCCTGCCCAGAGACCCCATCAGGGAAATGGTCATATCTGCTGACTCTTCTGGCTCCCCTTTGCCAGCACCCCATTTCCCTGACCCTCACCCCCAGCAGAATCTGGCCTTGCCCACCTATGGATGCTGCATCTGGAGACCCTCGACAGCAAGGTTTCTGTCATGGGGATGTTTTCTTCCCCTTGACAAGAAATCCACCCCCCCCCACACACACACACACCTTGTATCTTCTGGAGGAGCCAAAAATGCAGCTGCAGATTGACTTGCAGCTGAGCTAAAAATAACTGCCAGGCTCCAGCCAGGGCCCAGGAAAATATCTCATTGCTAGGAGACGACCGTTACTGGGAGACCGCCATTGCTAGGCGACAGGGTTGCCGTGGTGACAGCTGGGCCCTGAGTCATGCTCAGCCCTGTTGCTCCGCCCCTCTGCCCCTGGCAGGCGGCTGGGTCCCAAGAGGAGGAAAGTCTGGGAGCAGAAGGCAGCAAAGGGGCCCACCCCCTGATGCCCACAGCCACCATGGCCACACCAGGCTTTGAGGTTCTCACTCCTGTGGGCGCCCATTCCAGCAGTGGAGTGGTGAGGACGGCGGAACACACAACTCTGCCCCTAACAGCCCCTCCCCGGGCGCTGGGGCACGGGAGGGAGGGCTGGGGGGGGGACAGAGGCGGAAAGTGTGCCCCATGGCTCCATAGCAAGAAGCTTCAGAGCCAGCCGAATTACAATCGGGCATGGGGCTCTCACAGCCTGGGCTGTGCTAGCTGCCGTGCTGACCTTCAGGGCACCCCCTTGGACCCCACACCTATTTCCCAGGAGGGGAAATACTTGCCTGATCCCCCCCACCACCACCACCACCACGGACGGGAGGATTTGGGCCAGGCAGGTGGCTCCAGGACACATGTACCCAGAGCCCCCACAAGGAACTGCCTGAGGACCTCCTATAAGGAGCCCCAGGCCAGCCATGAGGAGTGACCGCATTGTGGGCAGCCCCAACCCCTGATGTGACCCTTCTCCCCGTCTCATAGAATGGTCTCAGGGTGGGATTCACCAACAGCCTTCACTCCTCACCCTCCGGGGACTAAACAACCAGAAACCTCCAGCAGCCTGTACTGGGGAGACTCCTCTGTGCTCATGCACCAGCCCAAGGAGTGCTCCAGGGGATGGAGATGCTCCAGAGGAGGGAGTATTTCAGGTGATGTGATGCTCTAGGTGAGAGGTGCTCCAGCTAAGGGGGTGCTCCAGGTGAGGAGTGTTCCAGATGAGGGAGGTGCTCCAGGGGAGGGAGTATTTTAGGTGATGTGCTTCTGTAGGTGAGAAGTGCTCCAGGCGAGGAGTGCTCCATGGGACGGGGTGTCCCCTATGGGACACCATAGGGGAGCACTGTGGCCCTGGAGGAAGGCCAGTGTGGCCACAGCTCCAAGAGCAAGGGGCCAGGTATAGGGCACAGCTGGGGGCCGGCGGTGCTGGAGACTCGGGGTTTTTGGGCTGCAGCGGAGCAGACAGAGCCCTAGGAGGATGGGGCCGAGTCCCCTGCACCGCGGGGAGAACAGTGGCCGCCATCAGCCACGGAGGAGAGCAGCCGGCTGGACGAGGAGGGTGAAAGAGGTGGAGGAGGGAGCAGAACCCACTGGTATTCGGGAGGCAGGCTTGTGCAACGGTATTTCACATCCCTCCGAATAAATATTTTTCTTCGCTCAGATCCTTCCAAGGCAGGGAGTCTTCTGAGGCCCCGCTGAGGGCGGAACTTGCTCTCTGCATGAGGTCCTGGCACCTCCTGGAAGCAGGAGGTCAAACCCTGTCCTCCAGGTCATGGTCACGCACCCTCCACACCGGGGCCCCCACGGGGTGGAGGATGAACTGGAAGGCCAGCCCGCTGGACTTGCACACCAGGGGCGACCGTGTGGGTGACAGCACTCAGTCACCCCAGAGGTCTGCACGCGTCCTACTCTGACTGCCCGTGCCAAGCTCCCTGCTTTGACCAGAATTAGCACAAAGGCAAGACACTGATTCTTGAGCCCCTGCCACACGGGAAAGCCGCCGTCACCGCAGCCCCAGCAACCGGATCCAGGGCCCTGCACACAGCAAAAGCAGCGCTCCAGCTCGCAAACAGCTAGGCTCCCCCCCTGCAGCTGCCCCCACCTCACAGCAGCCCCACTGGGTCCTGCTTCCCACCAAACGCTGCGAACACCAGCTGTGTTCATTTCCCTCTCCCCCTCCAGGGCCCTCCCTCTTGGCCTTAAGGCTCCTCCCCTGAAATGAAGACCCCTCTCTGCTCTCCCCACACCTGATCCCTCCCCAGTCTCTGCTCCCAGGAGACCCCGGGATGGGGTCCGGGACGGTCACCATTAGCCTCCATTCTCTGCTCTGAGCCTGCTGGGAGGCCGGAACAGAGCCCTGCACACCCTCCCTCTGCATCCCACCCGGGGCCCCTCTCCCAGCCTGGTCCCTACACAGCGGCCATTACCAACACCCGCCTCCAGTGGGTTCCAGAGCGGGCTCGCCAGGCTCAAGTCCTCAAAACCTAACAACCCGTGCACACCCCTTCCGGGGTAACTTCGCCCACCCTGCCATCCTTGGGGTCGCCTGTCAAGTGTCCTGTGCTCAGGAGCGACGCCTCCAGCCCCCTCCCGCGGTTACTGTCACGTGGCCCTCTTGAAATTTCATCGCGCTTGTCACTCCCTTGTAATGATCTGGTGGTCACTTGTTTCTCGGCTCTGCGGGAGAGGGGGCGTCCCCGCTGCGGGGGGTTCTGGACTTGGCACCCAGCAGGTGCGCCGGAGACGTGAGGGCCATGAAGGGGGCTTGGCCGCCCGCTCCGCTCCGCAGGAAGGGCTGGGAGGGGGAGGGGGGCACCGTCCTTGCCCTCGAAGGTGGCATCCCAGGGTCGGGACGCGCGGGGCCGGCACCTGTCTGCGCTGGACCACGTACCCCCGAGCCAACCGCCGGCGCCAAAGAGCTCGAGTCCTCTCCCCCCGCAGGTCTCCGCGCAGGCAGGGCTCTCCCCGGGCAGGCGGCTCTCGGGCTGCGCGCCCTGCCCGCCCCGCCCCGCCCCGCCGTGCGCGCGGGTCTGCTGTTGTGCGGGCGCCCGAGGCGGAGGGGCAGGGGTGCCGC